CGGGTCCCCCAGCCTCGCCCTCCTTTCCTTTTATTCCCGGCCCCACCCGCCAAAATGAACAGCTCGGACGAGGAGAAGCAGCTGCAGCTCATCACCAGTCTGAAGGAGCAAGGTAGGGGGCACGCGGGCGCCAGGTGTGGGCAGCCGCGGCCCGTGGGCGGGGACGGCTGCAGGGCACAGGGTCTGGGGCAGGTGGCAGCTGGCGGGAGGCGTCGTGGCCGCCGTGGTCGCCGTGGTCTCTCCGCCACCCGGGGAGAGGTGTCCTCCGTGTCCCGCGCGCCTCGGGAGCCCGGGCTGGCGGGTAACGTGCGAGTGTCGGGGAGAGCCGGGCCCCGCCGTGTGAGACGCGCTGTCCGCCGGCCGCGGTGGTTGGGGTCGGGGACCGGCAAGGTCGCACGGTCCCCCTTCCGTGCGGTAGAAGCGGGTGGGTTAGATATTTTGGCCACTTTGGGCTGCTCAGCTAGTCCTGACCCCACCCTTGCACATTTGTTGGCGCTGGGTGGCCTGCGGCGCTGTTTCACACCCTCCCCCGCTTTTCATTTAGGTTCGGTCTAGTTCCTCTTTCCTTACCCAGCTGGGATTTTTTAGGCCACGATGTGCTCTTATCACTTCTCAGTTTTAGCGATTTATTAGCCAGTGAGTCAACACTCTGCCTCTGTTGGGCTTCCTGAATTAACAGGCTTGGCGCTGGGCGCAGGAAAGCCAGGCCATGCGCATGTGTTTCCATACTGCTTGGTAACTGGGATTATTCCTTAATAAAGCGCTGTTTCAGTCGGTCTTTTTTTTTTTTTTAATCAGTTACCACACTTCTGAACAAAACCAGATCAGCGACCAAATGTTAACATAAAACATTGTAAAAATGGTTATTACCCTGACCATAGGTGGTCTGAGACTGTAGGTCACAAAAGAGAGGAGCCATACAGATTTAGGAAGTAAAATTGTGTAGAAACATGTGCTTTTCTGAATGACTTGCTGACATGGCCATTTAATGGAAGGGGCCCTGCTCTATGGTGAAACCTGGTTGTTTAGTCCCAGTTCTTTCACTTCTCTTGACTCAGCTCACCAGTTCTGTGAACTTGGTGAAGTCTTCCCTTCCATACATCTTGTAATTAGGCCTTAGGCGACTAGAGACAAGGGCGAAACCAGATGACTTCACGAAATCTTGTCTATTATTACCTGTTTTTCTTTGAAACACAAACATGCTCTAACTCAGGACACCTGGATCGCTGTGGAGCCACCCTCCCCCAAATCCCCAAACAAATCCCAACATTGCTGTTTACTCTGTGACCTTAGGGAGATTATTTAATCTTGCTAAAATGGACATAACACATTCCTCTGTGATATCCTGCATCTGGAAAATGCTGGATAAACATTAGCCTGAGATCAAGTCACAAGCATCGGTGAATCTAGTGGGTGCCCTTATGTGGAATTTTTCGCTTTTTTGTGAGGGTTGGATTCTATTGGTACTTGACTTTTAATAATACCTTTCCTCCCATAACATAAAGACTTCTGATTCATATTCTAGACTTGTGGAGCTTTCATTATTGGTAATATCTGTCAGTGGATATCAGATCTTTTGGTGGATGGTCAGTTTTCAAATAATGATAAAAATTTTCACCTCCTTTCATTTGCTATACAACTTCAAGGGTAGATTAACACTATAAATAATCTATAAATTATTTATATTTTATTGAAACATGTTCTCTGTCTCTATGTTGTATTTGAGACCTGAGAAAAAGGGAGAATTTCTGAGTTTCTGGCTCTTTCTTCTATTGCATTGTATTGGAAATCAAACAAATCCATTGGTATTTTTAGAGGATATATATTTTTGATTAGGGGCATAGCAAAGGTAACAGAACAGTTAGACTTTGAAATTTGAGTTTCTTAAAAGGTACACTTTTTTATGGGGTCTGGTTATGGTCTGGTTACACAGGTATTGGGATTTTTGCAGTGTGGTTTTTTTTATACATCTCAAAACCAGGGCTTTTGCTTGTCATTGGATCATAGACACCACAATTCACTTATTTCAAGAGTATTTAGTTGCTGTTTGACCTATGGACTAACTGGAAAGCTAGAGATGTGAGGTGGAAAAACAGGCAACTGGGTTTTGGAGCACTTAGCCATACATATTATGATTAATTCTGAAAACTGATGGTGTGCATAGCTTATTTTTGAAAATAGACAATACAGTTTATTACCTGTTAACATTATGAGTGATAATTCTACTATCCCTATTTATTGTGAATAAGAACCATTATTCATTACTCTATTTTCCTTTTCTTTTTTTTTAACACTGAGTAAACATATTTATTCCCTCCTTTAAAAAATACTTATGAAGTTGCTACAATATGTAAGGTCTGTGAGCTTGGTACTGGGAGTGTAACTAGTAAACCAGGTAGTTCTTGTTCTCACCAAGTTTATTGTCTAGTAGAGAAGATAGTCATTTGTCAGATAAATATACAATTAAATAATTTTTCTTCTAGGATAAATTCTTAGAAATGGACTTGTTGGATTAGAGGACATGCACACATAGTTTTGCTAGACATTGCAAAAGTGCCCTGCAAAATGGCTACAGTTCCCATTCTCCCAGCAGTGTCCATTTCCCCCCACACTGGTCAACATTAGCTAATAGCTTTCTTTATTAATTTGGTACCCTGACAATTTTTTGAATTTTAGTGGGCAAAATGTTACCTTTTAAAATTTGCATTGCCGTGGTTATTAGTGAGACTTGAAACCTATTTACATGTTTATTGACCATTTGAGTTTCATCATGGGGTTCCTCCCTAAGTAAGTTTTTTAAGTGTTACATGATATTTGTACATATTTATGGGGTACATGTGACATTTTCTTAATGCATAATATGACCCTATTTTCCATTTCTCAAAATTATTAATAAAAGTTAACCATCCAGAAATTATGTGTTTATATGTGCATATATATTTGTCACCTTATATGTAATTTTTATATCAGCACATGCTGAGTTAAATTACTAGAATTGATTGGATAATGTTCTCGATGTATGATCTACCACAAGACCCACAATTTATTTAATGTCCTCTAGATGAACATTTCTGTGTTTTGGGGGTTTTTTTTGTTTGTTTTTTAAAAAAGCAGAAATAATGCTTCTGGTAATGGATTAGAGTTGGATAGTTAGGGTATCCATCACCTTGAGTGTTTATCATTTTTTTGTGTTGGAAACGCCCAAGTTCTCTCTTCTAGCTATTTTGAAATATACAGCACATTGTTGTTAACTATAGTCATCCTACTCTGCTATGGAACATTAGAGCTCATTCCTTCTGTTTAACTGTATGTTTGTATCCATTAACCAACCTCTGTTAATTCCCTGTGTCCCCTCCCCAACCCCCGCCCCAGTGAGTTTTAAGTCTAAAATTTGAACCTATTCCCCAGGAGGGTGTTCAGAAAGAAAGTACCTATCTATTCTAAACCACAGAGCTGTCAGCAGCCTTCCCTAATGTGAAGACATCAGTGGTGTGGTGAATAAGATTGCTTTTCACAAAAGTTGTGAAATGTAATGACGGAGTCTGTCATAATATGAACAATCTCTAATTTATACTTACCATTCCCTAAGCTCTATGTCTTATAAATCACACCCACTTCTGAATTACTTCAAAACATTGTATGTTCCCTTCTAGTGAATGGTATAATTAGCTATAATATGTCTTTCTAGAAAGTTATATTATGTCCCTTTATAAAAATTAACCAGTGTGTGATTGCTTATGTTCAAGCAGATGTTGAGGTAATGAGGTAATTCTCCTTTTGTCTTTTCTGGGGCTTTATTTTATTGAACTGATTGACATCCTTAATGCATGGAGAAATGGCAACTTTGGATACTATTTCCAATGCTTATTTCTTAGCTACTAAAGTGGACATCTCCCTTACAAAACATCACACAATTTGCTCCCCCTCTGGAATTCCATTGGAAAATGGTGGACTTTGCTCAGCATTTGCTTAAGGTGCTTGATTTTTTGGGGACAATTCATTCAGCCTACATGCATTGAATATTCATAGTCAGATACTATGCTAGGCATCAGAAAGGTAAAGCTGAATAAGACCTTGCTCCTGCTGGTGAGAAGTTCCTAGCTAGACATGGAGGCAGGCATTCAAATTCCAAGAAGACTGTCTGATTGGCCTAGTTTGGCCAATCCCATAGATTAAAATCCCTTGGTGGGGCCAGGGAGTGGGCAGGGCACTTTGATTGGCAGCCCCTGCAAGGACCAATGGATTGAAGTAGTCCAAAGCAGAATGAGATGCCACTACCAGAAGGGAAGATACAGACTGGGCACATGTCTATGGACAACATGTGTCCACTAAACTGGTGAGCATAAGCCGGGCTTGGTGGCTCAACCTGTAATTCCCGTGCTTTGGGAGGCTGAGGTGAGTGGATTGCCTGAGCCCGCAGGTTCAAGACCCACCTGGGCAGCTTGACGAGACCTCATCTCTACAATAAATAAAAAAATCAACCGGGCGTGGTAGCACATGCCTGGAAATCCGGCTACTCAGAAGGCTGAGGCGGAAGGATCGCCGGAGCCCGGCAGGTCGAGGCTGCGGTGGCCGGGAGTGGCCACTGCACTCCAGTCTGGGCGACAGAGTGAGACTCCAACTCAAAAATAAATAAATAAATAAAAATAAAAATAAATAAATAAATAAACTGGTCAGCGTAGTAATGCCATGTCATTTCTAATTTGCCGATGAAGTTTTGAAGAGAGTGATTACTACTTAACACTAAGAATTTCTGATGTAAGACTAAAACAACAACCACCACTACAACCCCAAAGTTATGAGCTTTTCTTGAGCTAAAATGAATTTCTTATGGTAGTGAGATAGTTGGTTTTAAAACAATTCTAAACTTCCTTTCATCTTTAGAGTTAGCATTGTCTCCCCAAGATTATTGAGATGGTGCTTAGGGCACAGATGGAAATCTAGTCAAGGTTATTCTCAGAGCAAGTTAGTAAGTAAAAGATGCTTCCAACATTCCCTTGGCTTCTAGACCAGAAAGTCACTAGAGCATTATTTTGACAAAATGGGCTGAAACTGTTGCCTATCACAATGATGATATTGCTGGAAAAGCTGAAGCATTGTCAATCTTGGATG